ACACACACACACACACACACACACACACATTTATATATATATTTTTAAGTTTTATATCTATCATATTAAATTCGCCAATAACGGACACAACAAATTCCTTTTGAGAGTTGAATTAAAAAGTTCTAATAACAACTTAAATTTTGATTGCAAGAATACTTCTCCAGCACGTTTCATTTCGAAGTTACAATATGATAAAATATGTGAAAATATAATTTTTTTTGTAACTTTATTTGCAAATTTCAAAAAATAGGATATTTTTAATACCTGAATCAGGATTTGAACCTGGGACTTCCCGACTTTCCGGGGCGGGCGTCTTAAAAAATACTTTTATAGTATAGTGTTTTGGAAAGTATGCTATAAGAATATGCATTAAAAAATGGGAAGTTCCATTAAAAAAATTCAACTTGATCTTTATAATATGATTTTGCGTCTAACTCCATCCAAAGTCAAACTCTTATCATCGTTAAGCATATTTTATTTAGTCTTAGAACTTTCTTCTTATATATTTTTTGCTAGAGTTGATCGTTTTCGAGATATTTTAACATTTCCGGACTTTATGAGGATCCTGTATATATATCCTACCGCATACAGTATTTATAACTAATACAATTATAAAATTCACGATCGAGATAGGCCAATGACTAGGGATGCCGCAAGACGAGACAAGACGAGATTTTGTAAAATCTCGAAAAAAAATCTCGACATGTGTATTCTCGTCTTGGTCTCGAACCCGAAAATCTTGTCTTGTCTCGAAATTCTTGAAAATCCCGAAAATTGTAAATTATTTTTTACTGTCATATTAACCATAATTTATTACAATTATTATTATGATTTATTTACGATTATTTTTACATAAAAAAGACTATGAACAACTCATTTCCGGACCTATGCTTATATAGTTTTTTTTCCTTCTTTTTGGGACCTGAATGATCACTTCCCAAAATATTAAGGGAAATTTTTCTGGACACCTTGTATATAGTTTAATGTGATCTAGACCTAGTAATATTGCTTTAAAATATTATTAATCATGTTTATGTTGTATTATTTATTTAGTAAGACAATTATATTTATTATTTAAAGCTAGAAAAATTTTAATCCATTTAAATTTCCATCTTTTGTTGTTGGAATAACTGTTTAACTTATGAACATTTATAAAAATATCTAACAAATTTCTAAAAAATTATTTTGTAAAAATATTTGAATACATTTTCTTCATTTTTTTTCAAAATTAAAATTTACTATCTTATTTTATTATTTTTATTTCTATCAACTCGGGAATATTTTATATAAGATTGGGATAATTTTTACAATTTTTCAAGATCCGAGATTTTCGAGAATCTCGAGTAGAATCTTGTCTTGTCTTGAAATTCAACAAAAAAGTCTTGTCTTGATCTTGTCTCGAATTCGAGACAAGACGAGATTGTCGAAATCTCGAATCTTGACGGCATCTTTACCAATGACAGTCATAGTAGGATCTTGATAAATTAAAATTTCATGCGATTTTTATATACATTTTTCTAGTTCTTATTCAAACTGCGCGTTACTTTTGGTCTCAACGCAGTTTTTAATTAAACCAGAATAATAATATAATCATAATATTAAATTATTGATAATCAATTTAATGCTATCATATGAAGAATTCTAAGAAAAATTTCTAAGGTATTAATTATTTTGCAGAGATTTAATTGGATACCAATTCCTTACAATAAATCATCGCTATTACCAGAGAATATGCCACATGTTCTACAAAAAGCTGTACAATTTTCGAACAAGGTTTGATTCAAATTTACTGTATAATTTATAATTACGGTATTAAAAATTAATTTTTACTTATTGATTGTGAAAATTTACATAAACGAATGTGTACAAATGTCTCAATAAATAGTACATTCGAAATTTTAATTGCTCTATGCAAGATAAAAAGTTCTGGTAATAACCGTCACCTCTTGTAAGCAGATAAAGTGAAACCGAATAGAAATTATTGTTTTGCGATTTTCTTAATAATTAATAACTAATAAGAAATTAATTAATAAAAATTTACAAAAGAATATATATATGCATCCGCGTGATTCAACGGCAACAGCTTCATATATCATTTTGCGTGTTACTATAGAAATATGCTCCTCTCAATGTTTCGCCGCGCGCTTAACAATTGCAATTGGCGCGTAAGCTAGCTGGATTATTTGTTTTGGACTATTTTTTTCGCGAGTTTGCATTTATTGTTGAATCACGCAGATGCATGTTTATTTGCAGATTTTTATTAATTAATTTTTCATTAATTAATTAAAAAAACTGCAAAACGTTTGAAGACTTTGTTGTTTGTAGTATATTCCTCGCTCTATCTGCCCATAAGAGATGGTTATTACTATAGTCTCTCTTTCTCTCTCTCTCTGTGTGTGTGTGCGTAGTGCAAGCGCGTACGTGAATCGTTGAATCTCGCGGATACATATTTGTTTACAGATGTTTATTAATTATAAAGTTCTTATTAATTATTGAAAAGATCGAACAGAAGTTTACTTTTCACTTTCGCCTATTATGCACGCACGCATGCACACGTGTATATATATATATATATATATATATATATATATATATATATAAATATAATATACACACATACACTACTCCAGAAAAGTTTCCGGACGGAAATTAGATTTTTATGTTTGAAGTTTTAAGCCATTGAATTTAGTGCGGCACTGTGCTAAATCAAAGAGTAGATGATTTTGGCATTTTAAGAGATACTTTAAGATACTTTGTAACGATTTTAAGTTTATTGCATTCCTACTATTTCTAAACTCTTAAATCTGAGAGGCATATTTGCCATACTGAAAATTGCAATGTTTGACGGAATGCACGGGGAAAACTTTCCTCGGGGATGCGATTCATAGCATCATAAAGTTTGAATCTTCCTCTTTAATTTGAAAAAAAAATGCAAGTCACTACGATTTTTTTTTGCAAAGTTACAGCATTTTAAAGTAATCCTTGTATTTTTTTCGTGTATGGTTGACATTACCCGATGTGCATCGTAGAGAGATTGGCGATCGGATTTTGCACACTGTGTGTGTATGCGTGTATGTTTTACGCACACAATGTGCAAAATCCGATCGCCAACCTCCTTATGATGCACATCGGGTAATGTCAACCATTATGCATGAGAAAAATACAAGGGTTATTTTAAAATGCTGTAATTTTGCAAAAAAAAAAAATCGTAGCGATTTGTATTTTTTTTTCAAATTAAAGAGGAAGCAAACCTTTACTTTAAAATCTTTATGATGCTACAAACTTTATGATGCTACAAATCGCATCCCCAAGAAAAGTTTTCCCAAGACTGTGCATTCCGTCAAACATTGCAATTTTCAGTATGGCAAACATGCCTCTCAGATTTAAGAATTTAGAGTACCTAGTAGGCATTAAACTTAAAATCGTTACAGAGTATCTTAAAGTATCTCTTAAAATGCCAAAATCATCTACTATTTGATTTAGCACACTAAGTTCTGCGGCTTAAAACTTCAAACCTAAAAATTTATATTTCTGTCCGGAAACTTTTCGGGGATAGTGTATATATGTATGTATGTATATTAAGGTGGACCTTATTTTTGAATTTTTTTCACGACGCCCCCTAAAGTTGTTCTATTTGGTGAAAAAAAAAATTGTGTAAAAGTTGAGAACAACGGGAAGACGTGGCACGTCAAAAAAGTTTTTAAATTAATTCTTGGAACACTCTGTAAATATCAAGTTTTTTGCAAATGGTAATATTTCCGTAATGTGCTTTCAGAGAAAGAGAGAAAAAGAGAAAAACACGTACCGGAGTGAATTATGCAATTAACTCTCAATTTAAAATTCTTTTAAATTTTATTTTAGTATAGATTTATGATTTATATTTTTGAAATATAGTGCATGAAAACTTTATAATTCAAAACTATCGATAAATAAACATTTTTCTCCTAAACATTCTAAAAAAAGTAATTGCAGCTTGTTCAATGAAATTGATATGAAATTGATATGGAAATTGTGAAAACACGTAAAGTCGTAAAATGACACAGCAGAACGAGGAGTTAAGCTCATGCAGGATTTTAATCAAATTTTATCGAGAAATGAGGAGAAAAAACAATTCATTTTTCATATCGTATCACATTAAAGAACTCAGTATCCAAATGTCCATAAATATACTCTTATTAAGGATTTATAAAATTACAATAGATTTAAATATTACAATAGATTGAAAAATATATAGATGCAAACAATATATT